TCACACATGTTCTCATACCCCTTATGAAAATTCTTATTTTAAATAAAAAGGGGCTATAAGCTGCTTCTTGTGCAAATTAATGAATCACTTTATCGTTAGCTAATTTCTAAATGCTATCAGAAACCATCCGATTTATAGTGGTAAGTCGCTTACTAAACAAGGATTCTTTTATGTACTGGTGCTATATTTCAAGAAATTAAACAAAATCTGTTTGTATTACTTTATTCTGAACAAAAAGCGTGACAGAAGGAATAGAAATGTTGTTTTATCTCACAAGGCACAGACACCACGGAGCGTCGAAAAACGTGGGGGGTGGGGGCTAAAAAGTTGGAGGGCTAAAACCGTATAAAAAGTTGCTTTACTGGTAGTTTGTTACTTAATATCTGGCATTCTTTGCAATTTCTTAATATTTGGCCCCTACTTCGCGGTGCCTGCGGGCAATATCTCTGCTTCCGCACATAAATGTCCTTTATCTTCTTGCCTGTTCTTGTGGGGATGGCCAAAACGATTCTGGATTTGATGCTGGAAACAATAGCCAAGTTGTTGTTCGAGGAAATTTTGAATCATGCGTAGGGAGGCAGTCTATATAAGAAAATACCGTCAACAATACGAGTTCGTTTTGTAACAGTAACTTCCGTTGTGGTAATCAATTTCCTGCTGATTATTCGCGTGTCTATCATATTCATGCCATCAATGATACAACAGCAGTAACAAACAATTAAAATTACACTAAGGGTTGAAAGGCAACGGCTAGCAAGAGTTTAATTATTTCAGACAGGAAAACGGCAAATAAATTGTATCATTATTAATGGAACTACAAAAATAGGATTTCCCTAGTTGTTTGCCTATGTGGACGAGCAGAAAAGAAAAGACAGTGAAATTCCAGATTCTGAAAAGTACAAGGTGAGCAGCTACATTAAGGGAAGCCAGAGCAACAACTACAGTGAAATTTGTAGGGGAGACGGTGATCATTGCCATGAGAAGTGACTGCTAAACAATAATTGCACCGTAAAGACCCAAGGCAAAAGGTCTAGTAATGTTAGAAAATAAAAGAGTTTCAAGTTCAAGTTGGTAAAAATATCTTGGTTGGAAATTTTTTAGCACAAATGGATACACGGCAAGTGTGGAACAACTGAGATGTTTAATCAAAGATTCGATAAAGGCAAAAGAATCTGCATACGTACAATCAATGCTAATTAAAAGCTGCTAAATCAGTATTCTGCAGATTTTTGTAAGTGCAATATGAAAAGAAAAGAAACTCTAAACTGTCTTTTTTGTTTGATAATTTGCAAAGAGATAAATTCCATTTTGTATTTTCATAATCTGGGCCTTGTGGTCCAACGCTGTTAGAATATGGTGTAAAATTGTGTTCTTTTTGTTTAAGAAGCCTCAACTGGCAATCAACGAAATACTAGAAAATTTGTCGTGGAATACCAAGCCAATCGAGTTCTTAGTTTCACTGAATACCCATAGAAGGCTAATAACGGAGGAAATCTCAAGTTAAAAGGAAGGGAATCTTTAATAGAAATACGATATATTACAACAAGAGATCGCCATGACTGGCCATATCAGTTTTTCTTTCCTATCATGCTCCTTGTTTGCTGCAAAAACCACATCAACTTAAGCTTATCAGCTCTTCTTGAACGATAAAATTCTCCAATCAATTCACAGTTGCCACCAGTTTCAATTCAGATATCAGAGGAGGGCAAATTGACTTTCTCGGGCTAATTGACCTCTGCCCTGCTAAAATGCTAGTTAGGCCCAGTTTGAACTTCAAATTTCTGCCGTGTTGAATTAAATTATTTCTCCAGAATACGACTGAGTGTCAGTTAAATGCGACTATAACACGGCGTTTAAATCAACTGCCGCATCAATTAGTTAAATGCGGCCATAGCTCGCCAGGCCCTGTCGCTGATTTCACCAGGAAGGCGACTTGCTTTAAACAGACGTATTTGTGTCGCGTGGAATTAAATTGAGAGACTGCGTGGTCAATGGATAGAGACTGCGTTTGTTATTTTCCCCGGAGTTTCAAAAAATGGTGCCAACACAACGAAAAATAGCTTCTTTATTGGAATATTACCACAGGGAAAGGCAAAATGTTCGAAATTGACAGACTTCGAGGGAGAGAAGAAAAAGGCAAAAGTTAACAATGCTGTTAGAAATTTCCCGACAATGGAGATAACGTCTTTCTGCTGCCTTTACGAACGAGAAGTTGTTGTCGTTTCCCAAGAAATACAGGCTGGTGAAATATGGTTCGTACAGTATATAGCGATACTATGTTAAAGAAACTCTTTGTGTTTCATGGGATACATTTCTGTTCATTTTGGAGTCAATAAGACAAGATCTAGAACGAGAAAGTGTAGGCGGAGACAGGAAACTGTTACACTGACAACAGAGCTACGTCTAGGCATCTGCTGTTTGTGGCTGTTCTTCAGATGCATCATCTGGAATGAAAGTTTGCCCTTCCCCTTAGAATCAGATTTTCATAAAGAGTCCCCCCTCTCACTAGTTACCAATTGGTCAATAAGTTTTTTGTGGTCCCTACCTACCTTTCCCTTGAAGCATTTTTCTACCAAATGGCAATTTTGGAAGACACTTCATCTTACTCCCTTGCCTCCCTATAATATTTCTTGTAATTTTAAGAGGTGATGTCCCTTATAATGGTAATAACAGCTTAGATATTTTACATTGCTGCAAAAATATAATGCTAAGAAATTCCATAGATGCTTGGGTGCTTTGAGAAAAAAATTAACTTATTATTTATGCTTTTTATATTTGATCCAAACGGTTCTAATGAAATTCACTCTAAATAATTTTATCAATGTTGAATAAAATCTATCAACTTTGTGGCTTGCCTTATTTTGCATTGGCAGTGAGTCCATCATTCATGTTTTCATGAGGTTATCAAGATTGGCCTCACCATTGTCAATCAAAGCAAAACTCTTTATTTCGCTTTTTTTTTGCATTGAACAATTTAATAAACGTTAATCTTTATTTTTTGATGTGCAATATTTAAACCAATCTTTAACTTTAAGGCTTAGTTAATTTGCTTTTAGATTTTGCAAAAAGCGACTCCATGGAAAGGTGGAAGGCTTATGTTACAAAGAAAGAAAATTATTGCCCTTTTATAACGCAAAGCCAGTTATGTTTGGTATTCAGTTAAAAATAAAGAAGATTCTTCGCTACAGCAAAATAATAACAATAATGATTATTGCACAAAAAACAAAAGTTTATCAAGTTTCGCTTCTTATAAGCCCAAAAAAGACCGCTCAATATTTTCAGTATTTTGCAATTGCCCAAGCTTTTTGCCCATTCAAAAACTTTGCATTCATTTTGGAGCATCGCGTAAATGGTAAATATGTAATCTTTATCAGTAAAAAACTTCCTTTGACCTATGAATGCAAAATTTCATGTAATTCCTCTTTCCGATTCTTAACCAAAATTCTCTGGCATTCTTTTAACAGTTAAGCCATCCGAAACCAACAAATAGCCAATTTTATTATTGCCTAGATGGCGCTGGTGATAACGCTTTGGTGGCAGAATCTAAGGCCTGGTCAGTACAAGTACAGGTACACCATCTCGTGCAAATGCAAATTAATATGATATATACAAATAACTGAAATAATATTAAGGATGTCTCGATTGATCTGACATCCAATTTATACATAAAGAAACAATTTGTAAGGAACCGAGCCATACGTTGAAAAAAGTCAAGAAAACATAGTACTGATCACCCACCAAAAACCTCGAGAAACTGCTCAAACTAAATATTTAAAAATGGAATTGAAGTTATTTTTCTAGACGATAAGGTAGCTTTCTGCTTCAATGGACAAACATGATTGAAAACAGCTCTTTTTCATGGGAAAGACTTCATTATCCTACGTTTTTATATGATTTGATATTATCTTAATCTAAAAGTGTCTCTTTAGCACAAAGTTTATTTCAAAGAATTTTTAACACCGCTCATATTAAAAAAAATTGAGAAATTTGGTGCTGCCTTTTCAAAATCTTCATTAACACACCCATCAAACTAGGCAATCTTATTGTACTACGCTTTTCTGTATAAAATTGTCGATATACACCACCTCACACCCAAGCTTTTAAAAAAGATTAGAAAAAGTGGTCTAGGCTGAAACATGCTTTTGATAATAAAGAACTTAAGGAAAAGATGAAGGAAAAAAATAGACAGTTTCTAGGTACTAAGCAAACTTTAGAGTATCTATATAAGAGTATCAAACTTTAGTATAATATAGTCATTGTTACTGTTATGTTCCCATTCGTAATATTGAAATGCTCTTATGAAACTTTGTCTATCTACAGGTAGTTGCTGTAATCTTTATTTTTCAATACCAAATCTCTTAATTGTAGTTTTATCATTGCACAAAATTTGAGTTTAGCAGTAGGCATTTACGATTTATCACAACACAAATTGGTTATCACTGCACCTTAAAATAAACTCTGCTTTAGCACTCAATAACATCTAATAACGTCAGTTACATCAACAAAAATTAGAGAAATGAGTTCTAATATTGAGTTCTAATACAGATGCACGTAGAGCGTTCTGGTCATACCCATGGAGACTACCAAGTTATTTTCAGGTGAGACTCAAGAATACCTAGATTATAGCTACCTCAGGTTAACCCACCAGGCTGAGGAAAAAAATGTTTCAAAACTTTTTAAGAAAAAAGAAGCATGGATTGAAACTCTTACTTCTTAAAGGCAATCGACAGAAACAAAGTTTACCCAATCAGTGAGTGTGATTCCATTCACACCTCATTCATTGGCCAATATTGTTTGACAGATTTCTTTAAGGCATTAGACATGCATAAGTACAGCGAATCCGAAAAAAATTAGGCCAAATCGATCAGAAAGGAATTGCGCACAAGAAATGAATTGGAAACTGCTCGCCTGAAACCACTGCGCGCTGCTCTAGGATTTTACCGATTTGCAGAAAGGCGGAAACTGTTCACGTGTTTTTCTCTGCGCGCAATTTGATTGGTCAACCGCTCGTGGTCGAGAGGCTGTCATCCACTTTTACCTGTATCAAATGCATTTAAGCTACTTCAACATCTGTCGATTGCTTTTATTGCTGCAGCAAATTTTAGTACTTCTTAATTTCCGAGAATTTCTTAATTCTAATTTCATTGGTTTTACTATTCGTGGTTTCATAGGCACTTTTGCTATGCTGAGAAAACTTACAATTTCATTTTTCAATATTTCAATCGTTACACAAGATGGTAGACTTTTGAAATTGGCTGTGAAGAATTTGAGAGACCTTCGAAGAAATTTCATTGTTTCCGACTGAAATCAAAGTCTAAATTTTTTTGATGGAGTTCTGAATGTTCTTGATGATTTTCTGACTGTTTCTTATAGCAGGTTTTTCATAAAACGAGTCTACTTTTAAAAGGAAAGAAGTGCCATTAACAAAACTATATGCTTTGCTTTGGGAAAACCCCATAAGAAAATACACTAACAATTCATACTGGGCAGGAATTTTCATAGACAATGCTAACTATTCAACTATTAAGGCGCGACAAAGATCTGTAGCTTCATTTAAAAGGATTTAGGAGCTGTTATCTGAAAAAGTGGTTCTCAAAGGTCATTGTTCTGATCAAGATAGCTGCTATTACGAAAGACTAAACATTTGTAAAAAATTGCTCAACAACGGTTACAAGAGATTTAAAAATAAAGATCAAGGATGCTGTTCATTCATTTTGTTTACGATATCAATGTCTGCTTCAAAGTTAACATTGAACAAAATATGTAATATCCGATGCTGGCTGACGCGACATATTATTTTGGTATGGTTTTCTTGCGAACAAATGATTGCCAACTAGAAAGTGTCCCGCACTCAAAATCTCACGGTCTATCAGGAAAATTTCTTGTTTTCTTGTGAATCAGCCTCTCTTTTTGGTAATCGCGTCAAATACGATACCATGTGGACAATATACTGCAGGAAATTGCTTTATACGCAGTGCCCCGAGGCAGACGCGTTAATGGGAGATGGATAATGCAAAACCAATTTAAGGTGCCTTGCCCAGGAAAGACCATGACTAAATGAATAACAAAACAACCAGCGTTTTCTATTATTAAAAATCAAACAATAGCGCGAAAGTCTTCCTAGAGTGATTAAAATGTGTGAACTAGTATGTTTACAAATCTGTATGACCAAACCCCCTGACACCTTTTGTTGGACCTTGGCAAAAACTGGCTGTTGAAATGCTCCCTGTTAAACCATAGTCTATAGAATTGGGACGGTCTGGAAACCTTTTGTCTTGATATAAGGAAGCCGCCTCGGATGTTGAGGCAACTAGTTTCCAGGCCCTTCTCAAGATCGAACGTGCACAAGGATTTTGAGAAGTCGAAAAGATGGAGTTGGAGAGTGAACTAAATGATTGCGATATAATCTTGCAATTGCTCGATGAGAATTTTTTTGCAGATTCCGCTGAACTTCAATTAGATTTCGAGCGGGCAGTAGATGAGGTAGGTTATGTTTTGTTGCCATCATTGTGCCTTACTTGCTATCGGTCACAACTAGGCCATTATGAATTAGATTATATTATATAAATTACATTTAGATATTATGAATGAAATAATTCAACGCTACTTTACATGATACGTAAATGATGAACACAAATAACAAATTAACTCATGATTTACCGTATATACGAAAATTAAAAAAAAAAATTGGAGCGTTAGGGTAAAAACCTCAAGTAAAATTTTCACCCTTTTCGTTTACTGTTTTAGGCCTTCTAGAGCTAGTAGCCAAAAAGTTTTACAGAATTTTTGCTCAATCTTGGCTAGCTGTAAATTTTCATTTTATACACAGGTTCAAGAGAACATTGTGGAATGCCCTGAGTGTCAAAAAGTCTATAAAACGAAAGGGGGACTCAGAAGACATCAAAAGGCAAAACATCCTGATCCTGGTCATAAGCCTGAGTCTCCAGAACTTGACCTTACACAGGATATTTATGAAAACTTGGTGAATAATGGGGCCAAATCATTAGCGTCTGACCTTTGTCTTCCTCCAGCAGAAAGGGCAGCATTTTTGTCATACACATTCAAAGTAGATAACTGTCATGCAACAAATGGACTTCACTTGGCTCAGAATTTGTTCAAAGTTTTGGTACATAAAGCAAATGCTGCGAAGTTTTACAAGGTATTTTATGCCCAATTTGTAGCTAAAGCAAATTCATACCTCCCAGAATTGTCAGAGCAACAAGCAGTTTTCCTTGCAATGAAATTGGCAGACAGTCTACTTGTAGTACAGGAAGAGCAAAAACCCTCTGCAGACATGGGAATGCCTCAGGTTGAAATAACGGAAAAAGAAAAGTTGGCAATGCAGTATCTAGGTGGATATGTGCTTTTTAACCTTAACAAGAAGTTTCATCATGCACGGGTTTATTCTAAATTAGAAAGCCAAAACTGCATAATGATTCTTCAAGCTGGAAGATATCAGGATGATTCATCTCAAAAGCTTATTGAATCTTTAAATCGTGGTGGACTTTGGTACATCAACAATATTGTACAACAGATATTACTTGCGACTGAGATGGCATTTAGAAGGCATACAACAAACATTATTGCTACTAAAGAGATAGACACTAATAAAATTATTAATACACTAGTGAAGGAGGTGGCTATCAAAGCTCTCTATGAAAACTGGGTTACTTTGTCAGAGGTATCCATTGATGAAGCTGTGGCACAAGATCTTTTGGAAAAAATTTTGTCACTGTACATTCGTGTTAGAGCTTTTTCTTGCACAAAGGACATTGTAAATAAATATAGAAAAAAGCATAAGAAGGATAAGGCATTACGACGAGGATTAAAAAAGGCAGATGAGGCTGACAATTAAGCATTGAAAACTTCTTTTTATAGATACTCTTTCTGGTTACTTTTACTCTAATAACTAATTATTTTAATAACTGGACTTGACTAGAAATAAACCTACAATAGCAAGCAAGAGTTGAAAGTTAAAGAAATTGTTTAGAATAGTTCAATCACACTTCATCCATTTAAAGCAAAAGTCTTAAATCTTTTTTTCTCAAGAAGTTATTTCCCTAGAATTTAGCAAAACTTTACCCTTAATTTCAGCAAGCCAACTGTTACCCTTAATTTCAGCATTTAATTACCTTTCTACTAAATGAAACATTTTAATAAATTTTTTTCGTAAATGTAAGCAAGGTTTTCAGGGTTTTCTAATTAAATCATTAAACTCGCTTTAATTGCTTTTTCATCACTAAATGACAGAAAATTCGAAAAAGGTCCTCAAATCCAACTAGTTGGTTTTTCTGTTTTGCAATACTTTGTTCTAAAGTGTAATTGTTTATAAAAATTCATAAGAGTTAATGTACTGTTTACGAGTCAAGTTTTCTTTTCTTGATTGTTTCTTTTGTGAGAAGAGGTTCATCTGTGGTTTCTTTCCAGCGTTTTTCTGAACTTTTTTTTGTAGAAGTCACATTGCCTTTGATCTGTAACACTGATCTTTGAACTCTTATAATATTGTCATTATATCCAAAATCTTTCACAGTTGGATTTTCATTTCGTCGACCAATGCCTCTTTGTTTTCCAAAATATTCTTCTAAAGGGTCTTGACAGAAACGATTTGACAAGACATACTCCATCCCACTACTTAAAAGAAATCTTACAGTTTCAATTAAGGAGTGCACCGTGATCATGAAACCTTCATGTGTCTGTTTTGAGATGAACATCTTGGCTTTATCAGCCTCTGAAAATGTCCCCTCTCTCCTCTCAATACTACTTTTCCAAGTCTCAAGGTACTTCAGAAAGGTTTCTTTCAGCCAAGTCAACCTTTCATCTTCAAGACTTCTGTATGGTAGCAAATATGGTTTCCGTTTACCATAACCTTCCTTGAGTGACCTCACATTCATGCAGTCAAAGAAAGAGTCAATGTGCTCACAGAATTCAGCAGTGGCTGCTGCATCAGGAGGCCCAAAATCTCTTAAAATGTTTGCTACAGTTTGGCTCAAAACTTGTGCTGCCAAGTTTACTTTCATAACAGAAAATGAAGTCAGCTCAACATGTTCAGTAGTAAGCTTGGGCAAAAAATGTAGACCATTCTCTAGATCATTGTAATACAGAGTGGATATGTGGCTCCACAAGAGATAACATCCATTGTTCCACATCAAACGGGAACCTCGACCTGACCCTGAATTGTGTAGACAATTTCTGCTTGTTTTCACTAAGTGTGGAGGGTCACTGAAGAAGTAGATGTATCTGTCTTTGGCAAACAAATTCAATGTCCTGTGAACAATATTTGCACTTCCTCTTCCGTCCAAGTCTTCATGCATTTTAAAAAAATTCCTGTTGGATGATGCACCATCACAAATAACAGCAATGATAGCAAGCTTGCATGTCATTTCTAATAACCCAACTGCCTTCCAAAAGATTGGAAACATCTGGTGACCAGTGACAGCGGTTGTAGCAAAATATGCCATTGACATTTTGAGCTTTGTCTGAATCCCTCTTATCATAAAAACCAGCATGTGTGTTGCCAATGCATCTGTTTCTTTAAGGGTTGCAAAATTCGTGTCAGGATCACCTAAATCAACAAACCCAACAAGTTTTCCAGAATGTTTATTCCATACAAGATTGTCTTGCACCTTCATTTCATCAACAAGCAACACAATATAGCGCTGGAGGCCTTGGTAGTCTCTAGAAGCATCAATCAAATCTGCAATGACATCAGGATTGAAGCCACACTTTGGAGAAACTGCATTTCGATAATTTTGAAGCATCCTTTTGCTTGGAAGTTCCAATAAACCCCCATCCTTGAAAGTTTCTCTCAGCTCTTCATAAGCCGATGCAGATTTTGAGCTTATTGATAAGCACCATCTAATGATCATGGGGTGATAACGACGACCAAAAGAGGGTCTGTCTGAGATTTTCTTTTGCTGCTCCCAAAACAGCTTCATGAATGGGGTCATCTTTTGTGAATGCTTGTCAATAATAGAAAGTAGGTCTTTGTCAAGCTCGTGGTCTAAAGACTTGCTGTTCATTTCTATTTCAACTTTCATTTTCCCTAATTCTTTCAGCAATTGCTTGTTTTGCAGTCTGCTTTCCTGCAGTGCAAGTCTGATTCTTTCAACAGATGTCCCTTTGATTGGTGCCTTTGCTTGTGCAGGAACAGAAAGCTTTGCCCTTGACTTTCTTTTCTTTTTTTCCTGCTTGAGCCCAAGGTCAGAACAGCTGTTACACATGCAGCCCCCAACATCATCTGATTTTATCAGAACCAAACAGCTTTTTGCTCTGATGTATTCTTTGCAAGGAAACGGAGAGTTTACTGAATCACCCTCGAATGGATTCACTAATATTGGTACAACATGCCTTACAGTTCCTTCATCACCTAATGATGTGCTGCCTGAGCAAATCATGAGACTGTGAAGATTAAGCAGCAGGTCTGACACAGTTACATTGCGAACAGACCTTCTAAAGTCCTCGTACAGAAAGTGGCTTCCTGGTATGAAGTACCCAAAGACAGAGATAGTGAAACTCAAACTTTCATCAATCATCACGCTGAGTTTTGGTACAAGAGATTCTGAATCCATGTGATTTAGAGTGAAATAATCTTCATTATCAGTCTCTGCAACACACCAATCTTTTAAAACAAGTTTTCCAACTCGCTTTTTTAGCTCCAGAAGTGACTTGTAGTAGAAATGTTGTTTGTCTTCAATTGGAATTGACTGAACAACTGTCCTTGGTTCTCTTTTTACACAATTTGTTTTTGTAAAGTGAAACGATTTTACTGGCATGTTTAATGAAGGCAGGACTCCTTTTTTCAAAAATCTCTTGGTCATTTTCTCACCTTCATCTGTGAAGAAATTAAACTCGCATAAAGAAAAAAAGCCTAGTTAGGTTAAATAAAAAGATTTGTTTACATTTGGTTTTAGGATTGATAAAATTCAAGATTTTATAACGAATCTTGTGCATTGTATTTGCATATAACTTGAATGATTAAAATTATAAAGCTTCCGTAGCTAAGAACCAAAATCAAAAGTACATATTTACTTGTTTTAATATTTCCATTATTTGTTTTTAAAACCTGACTACGATCAGATATAAAGTACAGGTTAGCAAAGCATATCCAAATGGATGTCGATTAACTTCATGTCGTACATGTTGAGGAGTTTTTTTGGGTTGTATTAACGAATCACATCTCGCCAAGGGTCCGGGAACGCTCCCCTTCCAATATGACATCCAGCAAAACATGTTATTCGGATTCACAATGTCCTATGAACTTGCCGTAGACCAACAAAACAAGTAAACTTAGTATAGTTGAACTTACATATCTCGATATCTTCCGGACGAAAATGTTTTTCACATATGTGTAGTGTATTAGCAGCTAGCTGACGCTTGAAACCTTCATCTTCTACACGATATTTTTTCAGAACGGCCAAAACTTTTTCTCGCCATTCCTTCGTCTCAACATCGTCGGAACGCCTTGGAGTTGGCAGTTTGAACAGCCCAATTCCTTTCGATCTTCGACTTGTACCGCATTGATTGAAGGCACAATTATCGCCAGGCATCCCTGACTCGCACTTAAGCAGTTATTTTCGAGCAAATTTATGCAAACATAGAATATGTATCAAGATCGCCGGCAACATGCACAAGCATTTTCATAACATGCGTCTCTTCAACCCGACTAGTGTGTGCACGTTCGATACCACGTGACCGCATTTTTCGTAAACAAAAACATGACATCGGGAAGAACAAAAGGCTTCCAGACCGTCCCAATTCTATAGACTATGGTTAAACCAAAGCGTAACCAAACCATAGAGCCCCACGTGAACCTCTCTCTGAAAACCCTTTCCACGACATTAATGTGTTCGAGCTTCTAATCATGAACACTAATCTGCCCAATCGACCAAACATTTTCCTGCAGCCGAGAAGGATTTCCAAATATAGTCATAGAGGCCGCGTAGCCATATCAAAGTTTTATTGCGGAAATATTGTTTCAGGAATTAAGTAGATTTTACATAAAATAACCAAGTTTTGTTCCTTTTGTTTGTCAGTATTATCACCGAAACATTTTAAAATCTCTTTCAAAGAGGAAGTTCTCATTTTCGTATGAGAACTTCTGTGAGTTGGGTTTTGATCCTTTGTTAACGGGCAAGTGAAAGTGTCTGCGGTCTGCAGATCCTTTAAAAACGTAACATATATTTTCACTAGCTTCTAGAGAAGTTGCAATTGCTGTTAAGAAAAACGTTTACAGAAACAATTTGTCCAAATACAAATAAAACGATACTAAAAGCGTGTATTGATGCATCTTGGCAAGCAAGGGAGCTGAGCTGAGTTGATGACTTCTGACGTTTGAAAAATATTGTATTTTAACAGTGAAATTCTTGATTCAAGCCTGCCTGGTGTCTGAAGCTCTGCCTCTCATATGAATCATTATCCAGCAAAAGTATGGTGAAGGGAAATACTGGAATGTCGGTCGTCTTTCAACTTTTAATCGTGATATAAGCTGTGATGAACATTTGCTAATAACAGCAGCAGCAACATTCAATGAAAGTATGATCTCAATTCAGGGCCTTTTTTGAATTCTTAATAGGGAAAAAGATCCTTCCAGGCCCGGTTATCTTCCCTTGCTTATAACAACAGGTTATTTTCCTCCTCTAGATAACAAAGGCTTGTCACACTAGCTTTTTCCGCCTTAAAAAGGCAATGGATAGACATTTGCATCGACAAGTTTTTCTAAATTTAGTTCAAACGATTGACGTGTTGTGCGCTGTTCATTGTACGAATGGAGAAAGAGAATACATGGAGACTTTTACTTACTTTGAACAGCTCTTCCTCTTATATTCTTCTTCCTTTTAACCTGTTTTGCAGTGATGCATCAGCTGCTCGGGCTTGCGAGTTCTCTGTCCTTTCGCAATCTTCTCCATCGACTTTCTTTTGAAGTCGGGTTGTGATTTATTATTGCAGGTGGCGGTCTAATGAAGAATTGCTCATTATGGCAAAGCATTAAAGACATTGATAAATGTTTTTTTATGGAGTGGCAGGACGTAGGCAGCAGCAAATCAAGGCAAAGAAATAGAGACTCATTTAGATCAGGCGTAATTACCTCTGTTTTAATTTACGCGATAGAAACAAATACTCAGGTTTATATTTAGAGACAATAAAATCTCTTTGTCGCTCATTCTAAGAGAAGGAATGATTTAGTATAACTTCTAATTTGGCCAACATTTGTGGCCACAGTTGACCTTGGGCGCCTTTTTTATCCGATAGCTTGACATAATGAAATATATTTTTCAATGATTAAGAATCTGTTTGGTGCACCTAATCTGAAAAAGGTTGAACAACAGCAATGCACATTTTAGTCACATTCATTCAACCCATTCGATTTGAAACTTCATTTGTTTCAGAGGATTGACATGTCTTGAAGAGCAAGTGACAATAGCTTCTGTTCCCCTTCCCAAGTTCTCCCAGCAAATCTAAATAAACTAATCAGAACATTCAAATTCTTCTAATATCAGAATCACAAAAGGGTTTAGAGTCGCCTTTTTAGTTACGAATGTTTTCTAAACCATAAGCTCGTTTAATGACCTTTCATAGATTTTTAGTTTTGAAAAAACATGGATTTTAAAAAGTTGATTACACTCTTTTTTCATAAGAATCTGTAAATTTGATTCAGGCTGGCTGTTTTTAATTTTTTTCGAAAATCTGAGGCTGGCTGTTCTTAATTTTTTTCGAAAATCTGAGACTGGATTGTTCATTTTTAATTTTTTGAAATTTAATAAGGTATGTGCAGTGCGAATGTTCGGCTTTTTCTTTCTAGGGAGGTGTTCAGGCCTCGTTTGCCAACAAAGTGAGTGAGACAACCTTCATTTGCCTACAAGTTTGAATATTCATCGAACAGCACCCACACATGGCTAAAAATCCTCGTTTTTGAGATAAAACGTTGTTCAAATTTGCATTTGACAGTAGCTCAGCCTCAGCTTGTTCTGAATTTGCTTTTAACCTCTGACCAGTTTTGAGGCTCGTGTTCTTATAAAATTGTTCTTTTAAAAAAAGTGTATGTTAATTATGACCTGGAACTGATTTTGTTCTCCAGAAATATTCAATTCACGTCCAGCCTTGGAAATCTCTGACGTCCTGTTTTTGACTTTCTTTCATCCCACGCTGTTATGTTTTCTCGTCAACGATTTTCGTGGCAGGTGCAAGTTTTTCAGCACTATAATCATGCTTGGGTTTGAAAAAATGGTTTCAAGGTGCAACACTGAATTTCACACTTGCCATCATCAGGCAATGGTATAGTCAAACTCAGGATCGCAACTTAGAGCTATGCTGTTCTACACAAAACAGAATGCAAAGATCTTTCTTTACTGATAGGGCAGTACCACAGAATAGAAATATTTCTATTCTGTGGCAGTACAGTGGGACGTCTAATGGCAGCCACTTTCTTGGGCCAGGCATTGTGGTTGTTTTTTAGAGGTGACCGCTATGGGGAGGTTTTTCGTATATTTTTTTATCAAAAAAAGATAGTCAGAAGAACGGGGGGTGGGGGGGGGCGATGATTGAAACAATTCATACACTTGTTTACTCAAACATGTTTCAAGGTCATGATCTACGATAGAATTTTTATTGCTGAATACAAATAAATCGTGAATTTGGAATTGAATTTGGGGGACGGATTTTTCTAGTTAGCCATTTAGGCCTAGTCACGCTTCCTTTGTAAACATAGCCTCGATTTCGATTACAACTTTCTAGAACTTTGGAGGGTTATCGGGAACATTCCCTTAGAGGTATATTTAGCAACTTAGTAATATTACATATAATATGTCTTGATTAGTCAGCAGTTCTTAGCTAGAACTTTTTGTGGCAAGAGTAGCTATATAAGCAGACAAGCATTATAGAAAGTAGTATCAACTAGCAAGAGTGAAGTAATCTATCATAGCGAATTGAACACAAACGGATTGATTCTCTGAGTTCATTCCTGTGAAAGTTTATTGTCACGGAGAACTAGAGCAAATTCCCGACAGCCTCATTAATAACTGCAACCTCGCCAAGTTTCTTCAGCCTCTTTCCCATCAGCGCTATGTCACTGATCTCACCATTTTTATAGATTTTATCAAGGCCATTGCTCTCAGGAGATCAGAGATATGATCCAAGGTTCTCTGAGACATACACACAATACCAGGCACTCTTCCAGTGCTCACCCTTCCGAAGTTTCTCTGCCTAACGTACTCAATCCCACAACTCTTCCTTCCTCCCTAGTTCTTTTAAACTTTTGGATGCTCTACCAATTTCTGTTTCCCAGACTCTTACAATCTGTCTTTATAAAGAAAAAAATCAAACAAACTTCACCTTTCCTCTTATGCTACCTAATCCTTTCTCCCTTTCCTTTGTTAGAGCCCAGCTACGGGCTCATGAGCCTTCCCCTTAACATCATAAGCTAAAAAATTGTGTATTTGCTGGAATTATATTTGGAAAGATTGATGATAAGTGAAAGTTGAAACTGAATGAAAGCTGAAACTCGAGGTTGTTTCTTCTCCTTTGTTTTTGGTTTAATCTTCGAAGGAATTTCAAATATGGAATAGGTAAAATTGTATAAAAACATCACTTTATCGAGTCAGGATATCGATCAATGTTGATTTCCACATTGGATTTGTCTTCAGAAATGAAACTCCTGTTGTTCCTTGTCTCCACTTACTGAACGTATTTTAGATGCAACATGGTGAGGCAAATGACAATCCCTTTCCTAGGCTGAAAGAGCGTTGGAATGAAGCAGCATATGAAGCAACAAAAGAGCCCCCCCCCCACTAGTCCCCAAAAAATTTCTAAGTTGAATGAAAGCCTAGCATCCACTGTTGTTAGCTCACCAACACCCCCCCCCCTCCCTCCACCCCCACCCACACACTTTCAAATTCTTGGCGTGGCGCGATCCTACAAAGTTTTTCAGTTTGTGACTAGTGCCAGATTTCAGTGCCAGATGCCCTGCAATAAACCTATTAAACAAAGAACTACTAAAATGTTTGCAAGCATGTTTAAATTGACAGAAAAAGATTTTTCTATGGTTGATAAGAAGTAGGCCGCATTTAAATAAACAATTTTCGTATCAGCACTGTGGCAACTGTTATCTAACCATTTGATTTCGAAAAGTTATCAGAAAAACAGCCATTGTAGATCAAAAATCACAATTGACTTTTCAACCACTGAAGTTTTAAGAGTTAGGCCCATCACGTCAAATTTTTTCAAGAACATTATCTTGAAACTCCCTTCTCATATAATAGAAGATCTAAGTGAAGAGATGGCCACTGATTCAGAACGTGGCTCTGCCACGCAAGGTACCGAGAATCACATAACTTTCCTATCTAAAGAGACGTCTGCAATAGAGGGTTGCGATGCGATTTGAAAATGATGTGAGATATCAGCCTGCGTATTCCACGTTTTCTTATCTCTTGTTAATATATTGAAGTTCTTAAAGCAATAAGAGGCTACATGTTTTTGCATTCTTATATAGGCAGAAAATTGCACAAGGTTATATTAAGATATGCTAACTAACTTTACAACTAACACTCTTTTCTTTTCGATCCACGTTTATATCTTAAAATAAAGAGAACTAGACTATGATTATAAGTAAACACGACATTTTTTTCTGTAAAACCTCAGGACCTTACCCCCTTCAAGTTTGCGCGTATAAAAGAAAAATTAAGCGTAATAAAATCCAACGACCACATAATATTGTTATTCAACCCCTTGCGACGCTTATTTCCTTAAACTTTTACTGTTACATTAGCTTTCACGTCTGCGATCAGATCGTTAAAGAGAATCCTGTTTGTATTTTTTATCATTGATTGACTTATTTATAAAATGCCGACAACTATCAAGGATAATCTGGTTTTCTATAACCAATTATTGCGGCCCACAACACAGCAAATATTCACCCATATGAACAGAACACCCTTTTGTGCACAATATACAAAACTAATGTTCTTTGCAGTCATTTGATGTACAAGATGTCGTGAACTGAAAAAGCAGCAAGAAGGCTTCCACTATACAAATATCTTGCAATGGGATCTTAAACCCTTGTTGACGTTGATGTCTCTATTGGGTATATAAATTCCAAGAAAATAAACAGGAAATCGCGAGAAAATCCTGTAGATCAGGAAGAACATAAATCTTTTTTTCTTTTAAGATCTCAAGTCAAAGATCAAATGTCTTGCGATAGCTTAGGACATTTTGATCCGATCTATAGACTCAATATCATGAGACACAACAAGATTGTCGGCTGGGTGCAACTGACGACAAAGCAGCGCATTGGTGCCTCATCGCAAAAGGTTTGGCTGGGAATTTATGGGTAAAATTTTTGAATTGCCAAAAAATATATAACAATTGCAAAAAAAAATATTCTTTAGAATAGAGCACACAAGTGTTTGCATTGCACTTCACTATTGAATTTCACTATGATGAAGTTACAACGTTTTATTAACTTTCCTGTGAACGTTTTTTTGGCTATACTGTTAAAACCAATCAATCCTATGTAAAACTAAGAAAGGTTAAGTAATTCTTAAATAATTCCAACATTGCTCCCCTTTTTCAGGTTACGAAATGGAACTGGTGTAGATGAATGCAATAAAGTTAGATGAACGAGGTATGGAGAGAGTTTCTCTCTCTTGAGTATAAATAATAACCATAATCATAATATATATATCTTCTTGTTAGAAAGCATGTGTCTCTCTGTGGTACACACTTGTGTCCACGCCCAAGTCACAACATGCAATATCAAGGATGATTTAGCTTCGTGTAGATAGATGCTTCGAACAGTAATGAAAAAATATTGCCATCGAACAGCAAAACAAAAATTTTTGTTGTTGATCATTGAAGCCAGCTGGAAAAAGGGTTGTTCGGCTTATGGAGTCGAGTGGATAGGATGGTTAAGACGGAAAGTTGCATAAAGTTGAAAGGTATTCGACCAATATGATACGAAGTTTGAGCATGTTCTTCTTAATGTGATCAGGGTCTTCTTAATATGCAAAACTTCGAACGACTTGGTGTCGTCTTAGACAGATTTATGTTCTAAATCATTAAAAATTCGTCACTTGAACTGATTATAATTTTTGCAGTCTTTTTACGGCTTTAAACTCATCTTTCCAGTCAACTTAATTTGTCTTTCCAGCCAGATTAGCTCTTTACCAAATTTGATTTTGAGCAAAGATCACACATTTCCCAGAATTACTGTGAACGGTAACGCGAGAAAAATGAGATTGAGTTTGCATATTTTCTTAATAACAAAGGAATAGTTAAGACGCCTCCTCAAGGTCAACCTTAACACATGCCACGAATGTATTGGTGTTTGACGGTGAATATCTAAGTCACTGTAAACAGCATTTAACTTTGACCGATAGGCTAATGTTGTGTTCTCAGTGATGCCAGAAAGAAGCTAAATGCATACTTCATTTCTTGCTTAAGTATAATTGCTAAAACAGCAAGGAAGAAGCTTGCGAAAGGACTGAGGCAGAATTTCAAAGGGAGCTCTTGTACTCCCTACGTGTACGCTTGGCTAAATCGCCATTCTCTAAGCAAAATAACTATTTCACTGGAAATTTGGCCAATGCACCGTAATAAAGCCAATCACACGACATAGGTAGGGAATCAATGGGACAAATTTTTGAGGTATAGACACTGAGAGATTTGTAGATTCCTACGTTACCAAATAATTTGTCTGCCTGCCACTATTACCAGGCTTTTCGTGAGTTCAACCAAAGTTCAACAGTAAATTTTTCAGAGAAGAGTTAGGCCAAATGAATGTGCAATCGAATTTTGAATAACGACGATGATTATTGTTAGCAATGGGTGTTTAAGATTTGGTGGCTTGGTAATTGGTTTTCTTATAGCATTATCGATTGAGCGACAGTGCAACGGTTTTCATAATCACTCACACAGATGTGTTTTGTTTCCAAATTGCATCTGCCTGTGTAATATAATTTACGTCAAAATGCAGCGTAATTGAATTTGATGCTCTTTAGTTCTTAATCCTCCCTAAGGTTTTTTCAGAACTTGCTTTAACATTCAATTGGCTTAGCGCTGGACCTGAGCTTGGCAAAATACACATCGGATCCAAGCAATTTGCATCAAAAGTATACGATTGGTCAACTTGAGGCATCTTCGAGAAACTCACAAAACTGACATTGTTTTGATGCCTAATTGCATCTGATCAGTAAAACAAAGCTTTCGACCCGTGAATCTATTGTCACGTAATGCACCTAGGCATCAAAACGGAAAAGATATGAAGTTGAAGATGAACTCAATCCCTGAGGAAATATTTATGGGGATTATCACAATTTGCGGCGATGGGAATGGATCTTGTTCATCGCTCTTGTAGCTTCGAGACTAGCAAATGAGAACAGCAGATAAAATAGAATTAAGTTGCTAATTCTAAGTTGAGCACAAAGCAAAAATGCTTAACTAATTGATGCTGATGCAGTCATTATTCATGTTTTATTGATGAGCAGTAAATAATTTAAAAGATTGCTCATGCAAAGCGCGCAGCCTTTCGCTCCGTTCTTCAATAGATCACACACAGCAAAATTAAAACAGTCAAGTTTCAAAAGGTCTGCCACCAAACTGTTGTTGTTGCTGTTGCATGGGTGAGGCAGTAGCAGTCTATCCATTTTAAAAATCAAATACGTTAAAGAATGCATATAGAATGGATCTTCCTAGCCAAACATATGGTTCTGTTTTGAAAAATCATAATTCAAATTCTGAAAAAGGATTTTTGTTTCGTTTTAATTTGATGCTGGAGGCTCACCATTTTTATCACTGCCACTTTCCTGCCGACAAATGCCAAAGGATCGCGTGTTCTTCTCTTGCGGCAAATTTCAGCGTTGTTATAAGGACATGTTATAAGGATGATACAAATAAAATTATTCAAAATATTTCGGGAAAAAAATTCGCATACACTTATTCGAAATTGGCAACAATAATTGATCGAAGCAACCTTTATAATGCTGGTGATAATTTTCTGCTTTGATTCCTAAAATTGAGGGATAAGTAACTTTAGAGGTGTTGTTTCGGACCTGTTCCACCAAGAATCCGGATGCGAAAAGAGAGATGTAAATCGAGGAGTTTTAGTTAGACTATCTTAGTTCTCTTATTTTATATTGCCCACATTCATGCCTCACATAGGAGTACGTTTTATGCAAGTCTCTCTTAGAGCTTTAGACCTTACGGTCTTGTTATTTTACGAAAAATAATCACAAAGCTCAATGCTCTTCCGGTACTTGACCTTATAAGGCGTACTGAGCGTATAAATTTTAATTAGATCTTGATGGTAACAATTTTCAGGGTATAAATCTTTGTGAGGAAACAAATTCATCAAACTTGGTGTATTGGATCAACATTATAAACTTCTCTCTGCTATGAACACTTGAATTGATTTTTCGACTTAGATTAGACCCTACTTTTTTCCGCCAATTCTTTCCACACAGGAAAGTTATGACCAGAAGAAGACACAAATTAAAATTATTCAAGAGATGGTGCAACTTATACATTAGCAGAGCATTGTTATGAGGACCATCGTATCCTTATTTGCTAACGGTTTTTTGGTAGCATGGAACAAATATCAAATATTGTATTATATCATTTATATTATTTCAGCCTCACTCAAGAAAAATAAGAACTCAATTACTTTATCGGGTCTAGGCATTTTCCAAAGTAGGTAATCGAGGCTAGTATAAAATGGTTCATGCCTATTGCATTAAAGACTGAAAACATTGTGTTAAAGTTAAGATAAGTGAACGTTTTTTAGTACCTTTGCGGGATGCTATTCTCTTAGTGTTACAGAACGTAATAATGTCATAGGTATTATGTCTAAGAAATTCTTTTCATGAAGTTACGATCCAAATTAAGTAAGTAAAATTCGGGCAAGTCAATCCAATGAAGAAAACGCCGAAAGTTAATGCACTTAAAGTCATGTGAATCCTCAACATCTTTTAGAATTTTGTAGGTCATTTTCCTATTCATTAGAGGCTTTTCTAAGTATATTTCTTCGTTCTGTCAGCATTGTGAATGCAAGCTCATTGTTATAACTTTGTAATAGAATGCACAGACGTGTTAAGCTTATTGCAAAAACTATGTTTCAACGAAGGCTATTCGCAGTTTGAGAGTGCAGCCAGCGAGTGAAAAAGCGCCACATATTTCGTTTGATCATACTACAGAAACAATTCTTTCCTACTTTCTTTTCCAACACACTCTTACCACCTAAAATGATATTTGGGTTATCAAGCCTAAAGTCAAGAGGGTCTTGGCCAATTTAAATTTTACTTAAGTGCCCCCTTTGATATGTGAAGATGTGATTAGTTGTGCGTTGAAATAACACGTTCATGTGCAGGCAAATGTTGCAATGTTCCATATTTCCATTTTTAAACCCTTGTCTAAAACCTAAGCACCATTTAAACTTTTTAAAGCACATTTGCCGATTTGAGATACTCCTACCAAAGCATTGCAACCATTTGAAGCCATTAAAGATCCAGTCATTTGGATAATGGGGGTCCATAATTCAGGGCACAAAAAGATTTCTTTTTTCCTGCTACCGGAGGAAAATCATGCACAAATTTTCTGTAAGAATGAAAAGATAAAGGAAAAAAGAGCCAGGATCGAACAACCGTGATGATTTGTCATCAGTTTCTGTAAATGAAAGAAAAAGCTACATTTATTATTGTTTAAGCAATTTTACTATCACTATAAAATCAATTTCTGTTTTGGTGACCTAAAATTATTTTTAATTAATTAATACCTAAATTGATCCGGAAAAATGGCTCCAGAATCAGCCATGAATCAGCCATGAATCAGCCATGAATCAGCCATGAATCAGCCATGAATCAGCCATGAATCAGCCAACTGGAAAGAATATCCTAAGCTGAAAGTACGGCTATATCTGCAGCACGTTTTTTGGTCATTTGCAGGTTCATAAATATCAAAATATGCCTCAAATGTAAAACAATTACTGTTAATAGAAAAAACATGGAACAAAGGCCTTTGGGAGATCTTTATCTGCTAAGTTCTGTAATCCACGCCTTTGCAGTTAGTGTATGACCTATCTCCTAATAGATGTATTATATTTGTCTCGTGGGTTGTTGAAAACTAGCTGTTTTTCTGATTGAGATGTCTGATAACGGAAAATAGCAAAATTGTATCCATACATTTTTACTTTGAGGGGGGATTATGTCATGTCATGCTCATTGATGGCTGCCTTCTATCCATTTCTAGGTTATATGACGAGGATACATTTTAAAAAGCAGATGCTGATCTTAACTTCATAAAGATCCTGAGAAAACATGGCCTGACATGAATAATTTCATTTTTCACCAGGAATCGATCAATAAAGTTTAACGCATTGGCCACTATTTATAACTTTGAAGACCAAAAAAGTCATTTGACGTACAATTTTTCATTTACTACATCTATCTCTAAACAATGACACACCGCACTTGACGACAAAGTCAGTATCTTTAGCTTTAATTTTTCTAAAAATATGTTTTTCATCATTTTTCTTGCATTATTTTTGAAATTTCACCTTACTCCTTTGTTAGAAAGGTCTTCTGTATAATATTTAGATTAGAGCCTGCATCAAGAAAATCCATTAATTCCTTGGTGTTTTCACTAGTAGTCTTTTCAGTCACCCCGGCAATTGGCTGACCATATGTCTACCTATGCACATGGCCAAGTTTTCAGGTGATAAATTGGACCCTCATGGGGTTTTCTTCCATTTGCTCTGATGATGATGGCAATGATGCTCTTTCCAAAAAGTTGCTGTCTAATTGCGCTGCTGGCATTGGTTATTGTTGCAGAATTGAGCACAGAGACAGAGATGGTTTTGTCATCGCATTGCAGTGGAGTCAGATGGCGGCATTGCGTCAAAAGAACGGCTCATCAAACCATAAAGGTATGTTGCGTCTGTTCAACTCTCTTTATTTCCCTTATTATTGCAATTGTGTCAAGAAATATGTCTTTCCTGACAGTTTAGAGCTTTTCTTCTTCAAACTCTCTTCGGCCTTTTAGTCTACTTTCTATCGAGCGGTTTAGGAGCTTGTCGTGACGGACGATAGAAACAGTCCAATCCTTAGGCTGGTCATTAAGTCTCACACTCCAGGACATCGTCGCTTTAAATCATATAAACCCTTCCGTTCTTCAACTTCCTCTTCAGGATTCATCTTCGCATGCTTCTAGTCATTTATTTTCATTCATGTTGAGGGTCCACATCTCTTCGTTGTAAAGGAATACGCCCCAAACTATTGCTTTGACGATTATCTTCTTCTAATCTATTATCAAACCCTTTGTTAGGAATTTCTTCTGCTTGCTGAATGCTGCCTTTGCCTTGCCAGTTCGATACATGATCTCCTTTCAATCTTCCGTCTGTCTTGGCTGTACTTCCTAAGTGCATAAACTCTGAAACTTGTTCAAGGCGTTGATCAGGCCTGACAATTACCTTGATACCCGTTTTCTTCTTTCCAAATTATCTTCTTCTTAACCTGGATTTTGTCCTATGATTTTGGTTGATTGCCAATTCCTGCTGTAACGTCCTCTGTGCTAGATATTGTTCCTTGGTCACCTGCAAATCTGACTTTATTCATTGAATAAATCTAGTTATAGATAAGTATCATATTTTCTTGTAACATGATGTGAGATTTTTTTAATCGTACTAAAGCGCACTTTGAAATTCAAAATGAAGAAAACTGCTGGAAGCACAGGCAAGTAGCTTTTGTCAAAATTAGAACTAACAAGGCACATTATCCAAAGTAAAAGAGTTTTTATTGACTTCTAAAAACTTGAAAAGAATTTGCTTTTTTAAAACAACGCAAAAACACTCGTGGTATTACCTACTTTTATGTTGCATTCTATTTAAAGACCAAATTGATTTAACAGTGATTTTCGTTGGCAAAAATTCCATATAATCAAGCAAATTGCAATTTAATTTTTTTGCGAGCCCCCAGAAAGTTCAAATTAGACAAAACTGGTTCTTCGCAAAACAGTAAGCCTTACCTTAGAGAAAAAGGATTCCCCATGTAACTTTGTGGCTTCTGGGTTCTTGCAGCCTTGTGAAGTAAACTAGAGAAATAAAAACAATTTAAAAATCGGTACATTTTTATTGCAATGTCTTTGCACTTGATGTTTTAAAATGACAAACCTGCTTTAGAATTTTTTGCAGTTGTTATGTGCGCAGGAAACCTTTTAAAAATACAAGACAGGAAAAGCTCCTAAAAACAATAAACGTGTTTACTTGTTGTTTTCATGCTCTAAAGCAGCACCAAACAATTCTTGCTAAAGCATTTGATATTCATTTTATTCACTTTTCGACAGATTATCGAAAGGGTTCATAAGCAAAGGTTGGTTTACAAGGAGTCTTTCGCTTAAATATAGTGTTTAGAAATTAAAAATACATAAAATATGAATAAACAAAATAGATAATTTAGTTTGTTATGATGCAAAGGAATTACACGTTAAACGCCCAAAGTTTCAAATTAATTTTGAATAATTTTTTTGTGCCAGGAAAATTACGACTTAATAAAACAGTATATTTTCTTCAAATTCAATCAGCTCTTGATGACAAAAAAGTTTAAGACAAAAGAGGCCTAGCTAGAGTGTCAAAGCAGCAAGTCATTCGTTTCGGCTGAGCCATGTTTTTCCCAAATAGGGCACCCATATCTAAAGTTGGGCTTGATAATTCCAATACCAAGCGTCATGAGCAAACGATTTTGGCATTTTTAAAATGCCAATGGCTCTAGTGCAATTCTACGCACAGTATTTATTTTAGCCTTCCAGTTAAGGTTGCTATCTACTATATCTACTAGTGTTTTCAAAGAAGCCTTTTTTGGCTAGCCACTTTTTTGCTTAGTTGGTATAATGAAATACGTTTGCCTGTGCAGTATAACGTTGAGTATAACGAAATAAAGTTTAGGGAAATCTTGTTGTTCTGCAGCTTACCAATCATCATATCTAAGTCCTAACTTACTACCTCGCTTAGCTGTTTCAATATCTTTAATCAAAACTGATGTCTTCAGGGAACTTTACGACCAAGAAAAAGCAATGATCTATAGCATTACTTCAGAAGATCCCGATTCCGGTGATCTTTTATTTAAAATCATAAAATCATTTAAAAGCATCAAAATTTCAGCAGAAAAAACTGTTTGCGGTTTGAAAGGTAAAATTTAAGTGATAATAGTTCTTTTCTCAAATACATTCTAATTTTTCATTAGAAATCTTAAAACCCAAGGTGTCAATAAATTTACTGAAGTCAATTAGTACCGAATTAAAAAAACTACCGATTAACCTAACAATTTGACCACTTATTAGTGTTGCTTTAAAGATATGAGTCAGTGTCGAAGGGCAGAAATCTTATAAAGAGCAATGATTAGATTTTTTACTTTTATCTCCCTCTTTCAAAAAGGTGGGGCCCTAGCTTGTCGGTTCCGAAGTTGTTACCAGTGCCATTTTGGGGCTTTTTCTTTCATATTTCCTTGTTAAAAATGAGTTCCAAATTTTTTTATACTTTCAGCAAGGTTCAAAAGTATTTAGTTAAATCATTTGAAAGATAGCCCATGATACAATGGATGAAGTAAAATTTTGACTTTTCATTTGTAATTTCAATAATTTTTTTTTCAATTAGGTGAGAGGTTAGTGGACGCTGATTAGTAAAAACAAGACAACCAATAAAACGCGTTTTTCTTCCACTCACGTTATTTTCGATACACATCTGCATATAAATTTTCAGCTTACTTTCGGTCATTATTCGACGTTTATATTCTGAAGAGTGTCAGATGAAATGTGTTCTAGTATGCTATGTTTCCGGTATTTCGTGTATCTTCAAGTTTCGTGGCACCAAAAACTTATTTGATAATTTTAAAGATACTTGTCATGACCTCATTACAAGCTGTAATCATAAAATTTTCATATTCTCATTTAAGTTGGATTTTTAATGAGTTTACTGCATTGCAACGATTTCCATATCGGCCAATTAAAAGGGAACATTAGATTAATAGCTGCCATTTTTACTCTGTTTCTGGTCTGCATTGGAATCCCAAGTTAAAGGGCCTCTCCTCTCCAGACAAAAAAGAAATTTTTTATTGACTAAAAGGTTAGTATCTGGTGCATGTATTATGCCAAAGTACAAGGTTTAGAAGTTACAAAGCTTTAAAGTTATACCTTTAAAAAAAACCACAAAAGCCGAATCAGTTTGGTGACATTCTGACGTCAAAATGTGCAACTCTCGTTCACCGTGAATTTCGTATACACATCCCAGATACTACTGTACATGTTGTCTATTTTGCCACATTCCTGTAGTTATTATGCGGGGTCCATAGTAGTTGTGATGATTTTAGGCCAAGTGCTAACACCATGCAGCTAGTAGCACCCCTCTGTTCCTCTGTCCAAGCACAATATGTATGAAAGGTATGACAAGTATCTGCTATATCTGTTATGCTGAGTTGGTGCCTTTCTGTCTCATATTGTCAATCTCCTCTGTTTGGCTTTTACTGCAAACATACAGTCTGTAGTACAATGGATATTGTCCGACAATTTCCACATGTAAACCTAAACTCATAAAATAAACAACAAGTCAAAAGTGCGCTATTTTTGTTCAGAATCATGCGGGACTTCACTCTGAAAATGTACTAACTTTTATGCAACAAAGCAAATGATTTGACTCGCGGTTTTTCATTTACTCTTATTAGCATTTTCAGAAGCTTTATAACATCTAAACAAATAAAAAAAGCATAGAAAATATATCAGAATGTATGAGTCCTATTTTAGGGGTGATACATTAAGATGCTTTGTTAAATGAGATAGTAGTAAGGGGTAGGGGGTAGGCTGAACTTAATTTCTTATTATGTAGTACTTCAGATGTCGTATGGAAATAACAATGGCTGTATAATATATGAACAGTTTTTTGGCGGTACATAACTTGAAAATGGCTTTAAAAAAGCAGACATTTTACAACATATTAACTAAAAGCTTTTTCGTCTGACACTCCTCAGAGCATAAAACGTCAGAATAAGGGACCGAAAGAACACGATGAAAAATATATACCCAGTTGTGGATCGAAATAGGCCAATCAGAAAAACGCAAGCACAAGACCGGTATAGTTGACCAATCAGTGCTGCGTGCCTATAGAAAAATCACCACTGGAGTCCAAGAGAGAAAACGAACTCCTTCTGTCTACACAATGGCGACTTTTTCGTGCTTATGTTGATCGATCTCAAAACTGCTCTGCTCTCTGCCAATTATCTTAAATATATCGTCATTATAATGTTTTGCACAATCTGTGTTATCTAAAACATGTTGATCGATAGCAGAATCGCTTGTTTTAACAAGAAGATTGAGGAGGCTGTTCTCTTCGAGGGACAGTTTTATTTCTGATACTGGAAGGAACATGTTCTTTTATCCTATCCCCCAATCTTTGGGCTGTGGGTTCTACACACGTATCACACTGGCACGTAAATTCACAAACAGTTCAATTTGCGAATCGCCGTCGTTCGATTTGATTTAAGGCGAGACTATCCGAAATACACTGTGACGTCAAAATTGTGTCACAGTGTCACCAAACCGAAAAATTTTTGTCGGTTAATTCAATTTAATTTTCAAGATGCAAGAGCTTATATCTTACAAACTACAAACAGTATGGAAAACGAATAATAAATTCGCGATTACCAGATTCAACTCCTTTAGAGTAAAATGCAATTGCAAATTTTGACTGGAGAGGCCCTTTAAAGAAAATATCAAAAAACACAATTTGGAACATTCATTGTAATATTGATTTTCATAAATTTTTAAAAGCTTTTTTGATGATGGCATATAGAGTTGGTCGAGAAAACTTTAAAATTGAAAAATAAACCGTGCAAAAAGAAAGTGATTATCAAAAGAGTTCAATGCATTTTTCATGATGTTTTTCAGAGTTCAATGATGATTTTCCTTTTTGATTGTCCTTTCTTTATTTTAGGGAAGATCTGAGCAAAGACATCGTCATTACAATAATTTCAGAGAAAGAAAAGGAAGACTAACTGTAAAAAAGGTGTCCTTAGTATATCTAATGCACTGGTACGAGCGACGACAATAAAGAGATGCTATGTAGACGACCTTTTTTTCGTTGTCTGCAGCTGTATTGGGAGCGGGACAGTTGATTATTTCTAATATCATTGGTACACAGTCATTCTAATATCATTGGTACACAGTCAACAACTTCATTTAAAAATGCTGTATCCAATATGTTTGCTTTATATTACTGGCTCTGCAGATGAATTCTATATCCTGTATGTTTAACTCATTCCTGTTTATAAATTGAGTGAAAGGCACATTTCGTTGTCGATTCATGATCTATAGCTCAAACGAAACTGCAATAAATTCTCGAACATGTCTCTTAGAAGCTTATTGATTTAGCAAGCATTTAGATGGAGGCCAACTCTAAGGGAGAACTACACGAGGGGAGGGCGTTTAGTCATTTCCAAGTCGCCATGTAATTAGCTCGTTTTTTGCTTAGCAAAATTTTCAAGCTCGTTCCATATGCAATCTTACGACATAGATATTTCTGAAATACCAAAAAAAATTTAGATAAAAGAGTCAAACAAGAAAATAGCTTAGACCAAAATATTGACAAATCTATTGTATTGTCTTGTCTTATAGGTAAATTCAACTTGTTTATTTTCGGTTTTATCTCGATTAGGTAGGCCCCCGTGGGAAATTGTTAAAACGCAAAAGTGGCTTTTTATTGCAGGGAATCATTGGAGGGGAGCGTAATAATCGTCTCCACTTCTAGGATGAATCTTATATGAAAAGTAAGACCTTTCTCCAGGGGGTTCAAATCGAGGATTTCCGGTAAAGAACACAAGCCACCAAGAAGTATTTTCTACAATCCCATTTTAGCAATCAAAACAACTAATTTTCAGCTTTATTCATACTAAGTCAGTATTGTATACTCCAAGGTAAATTTTAGAATACAGTGTTCCCAAATCGAAAAAACATTTCTGCTCAAAAGAAATTTTTCCTTAGCTATATCGTTGAGTAATGGTGATTTTATGAATGGAAAATTCAAAGTTAGACTTTAAAAATAATGCTATAAAACAGTTTTTTAATTTTGTTGCTAGCGGTGGCAAGGAGGTGGCTTCATTCTTTCAAACTATCACTAACTTATACTAGAAAAATTATGAGAGTTAAATTTAAAAGGTTTTGAAAACATTTGATTTTTGGAAACATGTTTTATGTGATACCGTCTTAAAATAAAGTACAACTGAAGCGATAGTCAAAAAGGAAAAATAGAAAGCACTCAGAAATTCCAGAATAAACAACATGTAATGCTAACGGAAGACTTGATGATGAAGAATAGAAGTTCTAACTTTTAGGAAAAATACGTGTCTGCTACTTTATTTCAAATTGCATTTGCTACTTCTTTTCAATGTCTTTTAAGTTAAAGACTGTAGCCATTTAGGAAGACAGAAACGTCGCTGATCCAACCATATGCAAATATGATTTTTGACCTACCAATAATAGACCTTTTGCAATGAATTGTATTGGAAATTGCTCATAACAATACGAGGTAAGCTGTAACTTAAACGATCCCTGGGCAGACTGAAAATGACAGCTTGCAGGTGTCTGATGTCAAATAAGGACAAAACAATGAGTCATTAACAAGGCAAAACAAGAGCCACATTGAATCTCATTTGAACTTCTTACCTCACATCTATCTAAAAATTATTCATCATTCACTCGTTATTGCTTACGGTGAAATTAAAGATCGCATATTGAAAGCAAATAAATTATATTAAAAATTTCTTACGTATTATCTGAAAAGAGAAATAAATTTTGTTTACCGAATCACCCAGTGTGTGTTCTTGCCACTACTCTAAAATTATAACTAACAGCGAAAAAATAATTGTCAGAGTACCAATTCAGAGAATGATTAGCAAAGATGCTTGCAAATTATCTTTTAGAGCTTATAACAAGCCAATGGAAAAGAACTTCCAATTTTTTTTAATCTTCCTTTTTTGAAGCCTAGCAGTTACGTTCTTTGAATAGCAACGTAAAGAGATTGGTGGACAAGGCGGCCTGTTGCCAGTCAAAATAAAAAATTCATTATCACAGTAGACTCATGATTTTTAACAGTGTCGAGAATATAATCACAAAGGTGTGTCATCTCAAAAATTCACTTTGACGTTTTTGCTTAAAATGTATTCAAGTTCATTCATTAGTTCATTCAAAACACTATAATTGACTGAATCAAGTATCGCAAAAGTTGATAAACCGTTTAGAATTCACCGCGTATAATTATGCTTCTTAAAACCTTGTTTGCCAAATAATTAGTTATACCGTTCATGTATAGAAATTTTAATAGTCCTTTTTTGAAGTCTACCTGCATTATGACGCAAGAACTGTTTCTCAATATAATTAAAATGACAACAGAATGTAGGCTGAATACAATCTTTGTTTCAAATGAGACCAACAGAAATTACCGACATTAAAGCGCATCGTCGATGATCCACTCCTAGCATTGAATATTATGTTTATTTAAATCCTCATGCTGGAGAACTTTAAAAAGCATTGATAATTTCATATTACTCTAATGCCAAGTCTTCAGTTAATAGTTTCACATCAAAAAAAATTGTCAATTGAAACATTTTTTCGATTAAATATGGTATATGAATAAACTCAAGTCAAAGAATGGAAACGTCCATTTACAGAACCAAGAAAAAAATTTACTTTTTTCTCACAGCGTGCTAAATTATTTCCATTGTTGCATTTTTGAAATCACATCAATGATCCTTTCAAAATCATAAAACCAAAGTAAAATTTATTGCATTTTCGTTTCTCTTCATACATACCTAAGGTATATCACGGGGAAAATATTCATCCTTGACTTAGTAAGATAACTGACAGAATCAAAGTTCAAAAGAGACATCGGTTAGTTTTATATGCATCATGTAGACACAATTATCTTAAATACAATAAAGTTTCAATTGAAGTCACTTTTATACAAGATTTCTTCAAGATGCTTGTATTCACAGCTTCTTGATTTCCAAAGCAGCTCGCTTACTTCTCAGGCTTTCGTTTCAGAAACAGAAATTTGAAAAGCTTCCTCAAATTTGCCTTTCTGTTGTCGCTGCTTCCTTTTGAAGGCCCTTCTTCTATCATGTTTCTTTCGAAGTCACGAAAATACCCATTGGGATTTATGCCATTTAATTCTTTTGCAATCTCGTTTCTTCCTGAACTCTCGTCAGCCTAGGAAGAGACCTTTATCTCAGCAAATGTAAGAAGGCTGCAAGTTCCATTTTCCATTAAAATAGTTCTCTTAGATCGAAAGGTAGTTGATATTTTCTTATTAACTTACAATATTGCAAAATTTTGCTAAAAATACGAAATATTATTAAAAAAAGGCAAAATTATTACCCGCAGCAAATTAATTGAAAATTAATATGTTTTTAGCTTATGTGTCCATGGACTTGATATTTTTATACCATTCTCTCATTAGCAAGCTTCTTAAAGTCTAAGGATGCCTAATGAACCTCTTGATAACATAAATCAAAACCTAAGAAACCAAGAGGCACTTATTGTCTTCCCTTTCATCAATTAACTACTCTCAAGCTTTTCTAAATGATAAATGAAGATTAATTAATCGGCCTTTTAAAGATGAATCACGAAAAATAAAACATATTTTGATAAAGCAGTTTGTGAATACTTCTATGAAAGTCCTTTACCTTGTCCACTTCTTTCTTGCCAGGGCAATGCGACCATCGGTAAAAGGCGCATGTTGTTTCATATTGCCGCTTGGATATAGCATCTTCTGAGCCAAAACGCCGGTCTGCCAGAGCAGCAAATGACAGTGAGATAAAAAACAAACTGAAGACACATATTAGTGAATTCATCTTGTCTGTTGGCGATGATAAAATTTTGCGTTTAAATGTGTGATAAGATGATCCAGCAGGGAGTGTCAATGGCTACAGTACTCCCGTAGTAATGAAACGTCAAGTGTTGATCTGTACAATGAACTGCGAGATGCATCCACATTCTTCTATATATATGTTTATTATGAATATCTAATTTCCGATGGGCTGCCTCAATAAAAACGCATACAATAATCTAATTAGTTTTTTCACAGGTGCGCTGTCGTTGTTCAGGTAAGTCATGTTAATTTTCGACGTTGTTTAGGACAAAAGTCCAAATGTTTTCATCACCGCCTAAAGAAAACACCCAGCTTACAGACTTTGTCTTTGCCATATTGCCAAAATTCATTTATTTCTCATTTGAAAAAAGATGAGATGAATTAATTTTCTTTTCAATGATAATAAAAATATGGCACATGAAGTGCAGCAGGACCTTCTATTATTCATGTAGATCAGGGGGAGAAAGTTAATTATTACCAAAGGAAAGACATAATGGCCATAAAAGACAACGGATCGAAATTCACTAAACACCAAGATATAGACAACTTTTTGTTTCATATGTGACAAATTTTGTAACTTTTCCGCTCATGCCGTTTTGAATCTGCCCATTCTTTGTTACTGGAACTTCTAAAGTTTGCATCGTCTTTTATGATACTGAATGCGGTTATGTGGGCTTAAAGTTTTTGCAAAGAAAATTGACAGCGTTCAAAGAAACTATATCTATTTGTTTGTTTTCTTCTGCTTTGTCACAAGCACCCTAATTTAGCCCTATAATAGAAAAATCACCAAGCCCTCCATAATGTCATCATACGAGAAATTCTGCTGCTTTCCTCGTGAATGGTTAATGCTCATACAATTCAGCTTCCAAAGACAACTAGCAATTTATCCAAGATGCTTAAATATATGTGAAAATGGCTATCGTAATATTTTCGTAAAATTTCAAATCAAAATTTCGTTGAAGCTGTACTTTGCCGCATTTTTAACTGCTTTAATTGCGAATTAAAATGTATCTTAAAGCTGCTAAAAATAATATGAGACTTGATAAAAACAACATTCTAAAAGTGACCTTCTATTGACATTCATATCTTTTTGCTAGATATGACCATTCTATATTAACAGCTTCTAAAGGATACACTATGAAAGGCAGTGACCATTGTTGAACTGTAATCATGTCCTTCATTGTATCCCTGCTATTAACACCTTCCATTCTCTACGTATCCACAGTAGCGAACGAACAACACTTTTGTAGCGTCCCCTTGTTTTATGTGTAAATTCATAAAGACACAAAGGGCTCCGTGTTTTCTTCCCGTTAAAACAGATCTAAAAACGACAGCATTCGCAACAATCAAAATACAGGATCCTATCGACATCAACCAGCGTTCCCATAATCTTTTAATATTGATATATTAAGATTGGTTTGGGATTTAAAGCATCTGTGGCTATTAAATAATCCTGCTCCTTATACAGCTTTAAATCAAGTCTTGAAACGAATCGTGAAAGCTTTTGAATCAGTTCTTTTGCTCTTCTATTCAGTTTATGACCGAAAATTTTCTGTCATGACCGAAAACATGAAGATATCATTATTTTGCTTCTGCTCGAATATTATGACTTCAATTACGCAGCCGAATAAAAAAGAGCTACAAATTTATGTATAAAAACGAAGGTAAGTTTCGATAAATGCATCAATAAAAAGCTCATCTTATAAGAAAGCCGGATTCTTGATCTTATATATTAACATTCCGCATTGTTTCTTCTTTAACTCTTTAACCATCTTAAGCCAAGGCTTTCATGGAATAAAGAGTGATCATACACCAAGTTATTGATTTTCTCCAGATTGTTTTTCTTGGTAGAAATCTAGAGCATAAACTTAGAGGGACGACCCGATTTAACTGTTTCTTTTTACTTAATTGTGGTTTCTATTCATTCATAAGTGAGATGAGTGTGTCGAACAGGTTTGGTCGTCGATGCATTTCTAGCACAAAGTTAAAAGTTATTTCAATTACGGTTCCACCTGCCTGCTCCACAAGGTTTAACGTAAATTCGTTTCATGAAGAAGAGGATCAACACTTCAAATGAAATTATTTGCATGTTCTAGAAGACTGTTCTAGAAAATCTTCTCATCGCAATTCATTTAAAGAGTAATTTAATTATATTCCACATTTTAGCATGATGAGAAGACGTTTTCCTACAGCTCTTGTATTGTATTAAAACAGTATTAGAATTAGCGCAGTCGGACAGTTTTTTAGCCTTAAGAGCTTTAGTAGTACAAACTAATCTTTTAAAAGCTAAAATGCTATTGAAAGTGGTCAATACCTAAAATGGTGAAACTGGTCAAAATGTAAATGCCTTAGTCAGTGCTCAGTGCCTTGAATTTCCTACCACATTTATTCGATCATAAGCCGCCCGTAATACACGTAAATTGTATTACAAGTAATAATTTTGTTTGCCCGTTTTGCTGCGGCTTGTTGTAAAAGTGACTTATAACTAAGGGTGGCTTACAATCATATAAATATGGGCAAATGGGCGATAAGCTGTTACGTTGAGACACGTTTTTTTGGCTTATGATCCCTTCATACATGTCAACGAAACAAAAACGACAGCAGAAGAATGGGAAATTTAGAGAGGATTAGAAATGTCTCTTTGAAGCAATTTATACTTTCATCTACCCGCAGCGAAACGAAAATAAACCTCTTTACTGGTTACAAGAAAATTGAGCTGTTAAGGACAATTAAACTTCTCGATATGCCTTAATGCTAATTAGCTAACTTTACAGCTTTCGTTGTTTTCGCTCGCTATGCAAAGAGAAAAATTTCCCCCGGTCTACTCGAAATAACACTGCTTATTGAATGCAATATGGTACATGAAAATTTACTATTCTTTTGTCCAAACTATAGAGGCTTTAAGCATAGAAAAAATTAAATAAAACCGCAAATATGTGTAATCTCATTATTTGACATCAACGTATGTTCAGTATCTGTCACAGCTGTTGCTGGGGCACTTTAAAAATCGGAGAATCTATTTCCCTTTCTGAGCAGGGTCATTTTGACCCTCAGCAAGTGTATTCTTTAAGGAAATGAGCTTAAGGTTTTATTATGGCTGACCTGGGCAATTGCCAGATGCTGAGGCAATAAATGGAAACATTCAGGTGTCTTTTTACCTGTGAGACACTTGCTAGTTCATTGGATCTGACAATATTTCAATAATTCTCATTTGCGAGTTATTCAGCTAAAGTTTGTTCCTTCTCAGCTTTAATCTTACTCGCAATTATTGAAAAATATCTCGTGTTGCAACTACAAACTTGTTCCAAGGCAGAGTACACTATTTAGCTGTTTCATAAGCTTTCACTTTAAAAATTTGCATAAGGTTAACGGATAGAAGAATTTCACAATAGAAAGAAACAGGTGGTGAAAAGAACAATGATGTATTTTTCAGTTTATGCATTTGTGACGTTAAACAATTTTATTTTATCCCAAACTCAAAAGGTTTTGTTTGCTATCCAAAGTTGCTTTCTTTCAAAATCAATAATTGATTTTTTCAGGTTTTTTACTATAGAGCATCCTCATCAATGAGGTGATTAATTCTCTCTCTCGAAGGTACTTTTTCCTTCTTTGAACCATTCTTGATGTTGAGACCATTTGATTTTTAGCTGGTTGTTTGTGTCCGTCCTCTATCCTCTGGATTAATTGTTTTTCTTCAATTTCATCACGCGTTGCCTGAAATAAATCATCGACCAATTGTTATAAAAAAATTTACAATAAATGTTCTTTCAAGAAATATTTTAGTTGAGTTAGGCTATTTTAACATTTCTGGCAATGAACACTTTATACAATGAACACCTAATTCAACTGCTTTATACAGACAAGTATTTGAAGTTTTGTTTTCTAAGTAAATTTGATTTCTGAGCAGTAGACTGGTGATAGAATTTAGCGCAAAACTTGCAGTAGCAACTCGGGGCTCTTTTCTCTATACACCCAAGCGTGTACAGCTCTGTCTATCGAACCCAAACAGGTAAAGCAGTAATTTTTCATTAAGTGAATAACTTTAATGCTTTTAGGTGGACACAGTGACCATATTGGTCAACTTCAAATAAAATGTTTAAAATACAGTCAATGAGATAGAAATGCATGATCTACCAGTTTAAATTTGGATTCTAGGAGAATGTCGATTTTGAGGTAAACATCACTACAAAATATTTTACGGTTTATGAGTCACCTAACATAAACAAAAATATCTGATAGGCCTGCTTTTACAGCTTGAATAGGCCAGTTAATGGCAGCATATGCCGGGCAACTAATGAATGAAACTTCTGCACTGATTAACTAGATATAGATGATAGCAATTGCTAAGATGATATCTATGTCACTACTTGCCATCATGTGTCTTGACATTGATATCTAGGTAGAGTCATCAAAGCTATTGCTAATAAAACAATGCAACTGTAACATTCGATATGACTGCATCATCATACATCACGCTCTTTTGTCATGATGAAACGATTTTTCACAATATATCAACATTAATGTGTCAAATATGATAATCAAACAACAAAACCTACAATTACGAATAGAGCCTTCGCAAATAGGGCTACGAATTTTTTTACCCAGTGAGCATAGATGTTAGCTAGAAAAATCTTCCCATTGGTATTAAGTGGATGCACAAGCACATTTCTTATCCAGTAAAGAGCAAATCATTAATATCACTTTCTTTGTTAAACTATCAATTTGAGTAATTTTGTAAGTAACATGAAAAGCCTTTGGGAGACGATGATATTTGCTTTCAAAATGTAAATGCATTTCAAAAATCTGTAGAGCTTTCTCACCTCTCGCTGAGCGTTGGCTTCCGCTCTACATTTTGACCATCTCCAATAACTACAGGTCGATTGCCATTGTCTTCTGTCATTTTCTACCGAATTACTATTTTCGTTGGTCGGTTGAATTGGCAAACTCATTACTGAATGTAGTATTGCAATAAAAAAACAATAATTCAGCAAACTCATCTTGTCTCGAAGTGTAACTCGTTTTCTTGTGCAAGTGTCCTTTTGCTGATTTGCAAATGTGTTAAAGTTTGAAAATGATGATAAAGCAGAAGAAAGGATGTTTAGACACCTCTATCTGTCACTATGGCGAATCACTGGAGTGGACTCAACATCTTCCGATGAAATCGATCTCCCTTATTTATACCAGCAATGGGAAGTTTCATCTTAATTATTGATTAAAGAAAAGAGAAGAGTGAGACAGTGAAAAGCGGAAACACAAGGCATTGACATCTGCAAATGGACGCAAAAGTTTTACGTAGACCCAGAGTTGACAACGGAAGCGCAGGACTGATGTGAAATTAGACTGAAAAGAGCTCGTTTCCTAATAATCTCAATAGCATAATACAGTCTTAAAACTGATTGAAATCCCTTAATTTGATGGCGCTCTGCCGTCTCAAAAGCACGTGGAACTAAGGAGAGAAGCTGTTGATGAGTGATAATGAGCTATCAACATTAATTAGAGGTATGGGCGCTAAAAAACAGCCAAGATTCATCGTCACTCACCAATATTTTTCCAAATTGGCAGCGGAGATCTTATTATCGTATTCAGAGTTTCAACGTTCATATTTTGGCATTATATGACTTTATATCAGCATAGAAAGTTATGAGCCGGATAAATAGAAAAGCATTTGATGAAACGAAGCATTTGCAAACTGCTCAGACATTTAAACCACATGTGAAGCTAAGAGTGACAGATGGCTTCAGACTGCTGAGGAAATTACTTTTTACATTTTGATGCTGAATAAGGTGAGCAGAAGTTGACCTGTCTGAGATAAAACATTACCTGAAATCATCTTAAATCAAATACTAAAAAACACAAAAAGTGGCAGATTGCTTAACACCATTTTTAGTCTATTTAAAGGACAAGTGACACGCTGTTGGCGCCAAATTTTTCTTCTTTTAACTTAAAGTAGAATGCTGTATGAGAGTGTTGTTGAAATATTTTTCCTTTCTGATTTCATTTTCCTACTTAAAAACCCTTTTCAAATTATGGTGGGAAATGAATCACGTGACACCATGACGTAGATTGTGATGATTTGTTGTTGCTGCTACTGGTATACAGTGCAATATTAACGTTTACAACACGCTTCTAAACTAATTCAGTTCGTCTGGACCTGTCGCGTCGTTTTTCGTAAACTCTCTATCAAGGACAGGAAACTTCCGAGTTATCACAATGTACGTCATAGGGTCACATTATAAAAAGC